GTACTAATATCTTATAATTATATAATTTCCTTAACTTTTATTTACAATTATTATAACTATATCATTGCCTTGACTTTTATTTACAATTTTTACATGTTATCAAGAGCTTAAGATACATTATGTCTTGGTAGAGTAAAAAGAACTAATAATTAAATAGCATAAAAGAAAAAATTATGACGTTTTAAAATTAAAAATATCAAGATGTTCAATAATATCCACATAATAAATTTGATAAAGTTGTGACTTACATTAAACCTTACATATTTTATAATTGTTGAATTCAATAAAGCTATATGATCTACATTATACCTTACATATTTATTGGTTGTTGAATTTAATAAAGTTATATTCTATATTGTATTCTACATATTTTATAGTTGTCTAATTTGATAAAGTTAGGATCAATATTATACTCCACATATTTAATAGTTGTTAAATTTATTAAAAGTTATGACTTACACTATACCTTATATATTTAATCATTGTTATTAAATGTTTTAATATTTTTAATACAAGAATATTACATTTTTTTGTTCAAAATTAAATAAAAATTTTGTCCCTTAATCTTTTCTTATTTAAAAAGAAAGTCTTGAAAAGAATAAACAATTTCCCTAATGTCCTATACTGTTGCAAGATCAAGGATCAATATTAAAATATGTTTTTGACATGTACCCTAAGATCTATTAAGGGGCATTTATTATATCTTTTTATTATCAATTTACATACAAAAATAAAAGTTGATTTTATTTTTATCAATTATCTAATTAAATTATTTTGTATGGCATTAGTATTGATAATAAATTCTACTCTTATAATTTTTATACGCATTAATAATTAAAAAGTATAATATATACACCTTTAACTTGTGTTCTAATAATATAATTTAGGAAAGCGCATATTAAAATGCATATTTTTGTCTTTTGGTTTACTCCTCTTGTCTCAAAATAATAATCATTTTTTTTATTTTTCCTCCAAATTAAGAATTTAAAAATACTATTTGTATTTATCTATAATACTCTTAAAAAAACAAAAAATAGAATAATTTTTTTTTGTAATTGGATAATTAATTAAAATGAATGAATAATGATAAAGTTAAAATAAAAAAATATTTATCTATCTTAAAAAAATAATAATTAATTTAAAACAAATTTAAAATAAAAAAACAAACAGCATGTTTTGGAATGTAGGGAGTAGTGATTAAGGTTTTCAAAGGTTAGTTTGCATGCACCCCCATATTAATTATAATTTTTTGCTTAAGGTTTTCAAGTGTTAGTTTGCGCGCACCACCATTTTAAATATAGTTTTTCGGTTAAGGCTTTCAAAGGTTAGTTTGCATGACCTCCATATTAATTATATTTTTTTAGTTAATGACATATTAGTCGCGCAAAAACTTAAAAGTTTTTAAAAATATTGTTTTATAAATAATTTTAAAAAAGTACCTCTTTATTAATCTTTCTAAAATATATATAAATTTTTTTTTTCAATTAATCCGTCACTTAAATATAAAAAATATATTTATTAATTAAGAAAAGAAAACAGAGATTATACATTGTACATAAAAAGTGTTAAATAGATTCTTATAAAAAAGATTTGAAAAAGCAAGGCCGATCTTTACCATGAAATGCACCTAGAAAAACCAAAGTCAAAGAAGATAAGGCTGGCTGTTTAGATCCTCAAGTGCCAAACTGGCAACCTTTCCAAGTCTCCACCTAATTTTACAAAGTAAAAACACATGATACACCTAGCCAATTTATTTCTCTGTTTCTTTCCTACTACTATGTCGACAGCATTGCCAAATTTATTTTTCCCCCAAAATCCAACCCTCACTGTCATTGAGATCTACCTAGCAAATGGATTTTTTATTTAAACCCACTGAACGCTGGTTTTCTTGTACCTCTTGCTCTCACCACAAAGCTCACACATTACTTACATGGACGTCAACAGCTCCTCGCATTCACCATTCTATACTCCCCTGCCGGACCACCACCCCACCGACAGTGAAGCTCCACGCCGCCGTCCCTTGAAGGGTTTCGCCGGCATCCTTGCCTCTGTCATTTTTTTGCTCTCATTAGTTGCGTTAATTATTAGCAAAAGCCAGGAACCATTACCAAAGGAGGGTGCCGTGCCTAATTCCACATCACAAAATCAAAATGCAGCTGTTCAAAGATCGTTGCCGAGAGGGGTTGCGGAAGGTGTCTCAGCCAAGTCAAATCCGACCATTTTGACTGAACTTTCTTATAATTGGACAAATGCTATGTTTTCTTGGCAAAGAACGGCATACCACTTTCAACCTCAGAAAAATTGGATGAATGGTAGGTATGTCATATTAATACGTACAGGTTTTAAACGTTACTTTTCTATTTCAAAATCATTCTCAATTTTATTTTGTATTTGGTTTGATCTACCAATAGAGTTAGGTGTGTCGTTCATAAAAAATTAGAAGTTAGGTGTGTCTTGCAACCTTTCTATTGCCATGCCAATAATATTTTTAGAAGTGTTATTTAACTTAATTTGGATTGTAGTTTGGAAAGTTAAAACATCATTAATGAATTCATATAGTCAATTTGAAGTGAAAAACCACAGTCTAATTCATTATATCACACACAATTATTATCAAACCCTTCTCTCTCTCTCTTTTTTCCTAGATTGTTCAGTAAAAAGCAATTTGTATATTTATGTCTTTTAATTCAAATCTTTATTTTTATTAAGAAAAAAATTACGATTAAACCGTTTGGATAGTTTGTATTATCAAACCCTTTTTTTGACCAATAAATTTTTTATGGAGTTAGTCATTTTGTTTTGATTCGTAACAAAGAGTTTTTTTTTTTTTCCCCTTTCAAACTTGGTTTACTTTCTGCTGATCATTTTTTTTTTTTTGCTATCATTGCTCAATTTTGCTGTTTGGTTGGTTGGAAATTCTGGATGTCTCTCCTTCAGATCCTGATGGTAAGTCCTTTCACACCATTACAAATGATTAAATGTGCATTTCTAGTCATTTTTTACTTTCTATTAATTTTACCACTTATTCAAAGTTTAGCATATAGCCGAGTTAGAAGAAGTGTTATGTGCACTTAATGCAGTTGGGACCTCATTAATTCTTAAATGTGTTAACTTCTTCAGGTATAAAAAATCTGCTATGACGTGTGATTGTATTTTTGACACTATAACTTGAAATTAAGGCCCCCCTCAACATACTCACATATATATATGGTGTAGGAGTAGCATGTGATATAGTGAGCTGTGAGGCATGTGGCTAAAAAATGACTAGGGACCCTAAGGTAAACGCATGTCCATTTTAAGAGTTGTGGACCAATCAAGAGTACAACAAATGCTGAACACGTACCCCATATAGGACACACACCTTGACATTGTCCAATTTTGGGAGTATGATTTGCCTTGCTTTCCTAGTTGGTTAATAGTGACTTTGCATAACTAATGTTTTTACTGGAGATTACTGAAGTGCTATTTATTTTTATAAGAAAAAAAAAAACACTCCGCACACAAACATTCAGCTCCACAGGTATCCTTAGCATAAAATTATTGCATAGAATTGTATTAAATTATACAATAAAAACTTTAAAATAAAAGATATTTTTTTATATTATAATTTTTTATTATAATAATTTATATTTTATAGTGTAATATAATTTGAAGTACAAAATATTATCAAAGCCGTTATCACTGGGACTGACAATTAAAAATCCGTTTTGAGTGTTTGTTGGGCATGTGATCATTTTTAAATCTAACGTTCAAATTTGGGCTTATGATTTGATGCATGCAGGTCCATTGTTTCACAAAGGATGGTACCATCTATTCTATCAATACAACCCTGATTCTGCAGTGTGGGGTAACATTACATGGGGCCATGCTGTATCAAAGGACTTGATTCACTGGCTCTACCTCCCGTTTGCGTTGGTTCCCGATCAATGGTATGATATTGGTGGAGTGTGGACAGGATCCGCCACGATCCTTCCAGATGGCAAAATCATAATGCTTTACACTGGGGACACCTATAATTCTGTGCAGGTGCAGAATCTAGCATACCCCGCCAACCCATCTGATCCCCTCCTCTTAGATTGGGTCAAGTATCCGAATAACCCGGTTTTGACTCCCCCATCGGGTATATACCCTGATGAATTCCGGGACCCAACAACAGCATGGACAGGGCCACCTGGGACTTGGCGGATCATGATCGGGTCAACGGTGAATAAAGCTGGAGTTGCACTTGTATTCCAAACAACCGACTTCGAAAATTACACCTTACTTGATGGGTACTTGCATTCGGTCCCGGGTACGGGCATGTGGGAATGCGTGGACTTTTACCCGGTCGCAACAAATGGTTCGGTTGGGTTGGATAACTCGGAAGGTGGCCCGGGAACTAAGCATGTTTTGAAGGCTAGTTTGGATGATAAAAAGTATGATGTTTACGCACTTGGGACATATGATCCTGTAGCGAATAAATGGACACCCGATAACCCGGAGGAGGATGTGGGTATCGGGTTGCGCGTGGACTATGGAAAGTATTATGCGTCCAAAACATTCTTTGACCCGGTTCAGCGAAGGCGGATCCTATTTGGTTGGATCAATGAAACTGATACCCAAAGTGATGACTTGGAAAAAGGGTGGGCATCTGTTCAGGTAGATTAATTTTCTCGGGAAAGTTGTTTTCTTGGAAAAAATTACAGAGAGAATGTGTAATCTTGAACATGGGTTTAATGGGATGTTTTTGATTCCTGTGTTGTGCAGACTATTCCAAGGACTGTGTTGTTCGACAACAAGACTGGAACCAACATAGTCCAATGGCCGGTGGAAGAAGTGAAGAGCTTGAGATTGAACGGTATGGTGTTTGAGGAGGTGGTGGTTGGGCCCGGTGAGATTGTGCAACTTGACGTCGGCTCTGCCACTCAGGTCTATTTAGTACTCTGAAACTTCTATTTCATTGATCCTGTAACTCTTTTGCTCAGTAGCATTTTCCTGGAAAAATTGCAGTTGGACATAACAGCAGAGTTCGAAACAGAGTACTTGGAATCAAATTCCACGGATGATTTTAGTGGTTGCGGCGCTGGTGCCATTGACAGGAGCACTTACGGCCCGTTTGGCCTCTTGGTTATTGCCGACCAATCGCTTTCTGAGCTAACCCCTGTATATTTCCGGCCGTCTAATACGACTAATGGCACTTATTTTTGCGCTGATGAATCAAGGTTTGCTTAATGAGTTCCTCTTCCTCTTTAGCCACATCCCTGGTGCAAGATGATCAAGGAATAATTTGCTTGTACACCAACTGTTTGCTGCAGGTCCTCACTGGCTCCCGACGTCACCAAAGCAGTTTATGGAGGGAAAGTTCCTGTGCTTGATGGTGAAAATTTGAGCATGAGACTACTGGTAAGCGAGAAGTTGTCATACTTCTTTGTCAAGAATAGATTTAATTAAAAGAGTTGAGGACCTAAGAATGGTGTCAATTTTTGTTACCCTTAGACTTAGATCATGATTCATGGACAAATCGGGTTAGCATGGATTACTTAGGTGATCAAGAAAAAGACTCAAATTCAATTCATTTGGAATAAATTAATAATGGGATTAGGGAATTCGAGCATCAGATCATTAGTTTAGGAAGCGTCAGAATCATGTAAGAAATTGGTTCACCTATTAAGTTTTTAGAGGGTCCAGATGCTCACAATTTTGTGCTGAAAACGCTTTTTTCTTATGAAAAGGTTGATCATTCAGTTGTGGAAAGCTTTGCACAAGGAGGGAGGACAGTGATCACGTCCAGAATTTATCCAACAGAGGCCATCTATGCAGCAGCAAGGCTGTTCTTATTCAACAATGCAACTGGAATAACTATAAAGGCTACTCTCACAGTGTGGCAAGTGAACTCTGCCTTTATTCATCCTTTCCCCTTAGATCAAATAGAGAAATACTCTTCAGCATGAGGCATTATATTCCTTTAGCAATCCCATTTGGTTACCAATTATTAGCTACAATAATGTGTGAGGGTGCGTTTAGAATTGCTGTTACTGTAGTTGTAGTTGTGGCTGTGGTTGTACTGAACTTTATTATACTGTAACTATGGCCAAAAGTTATTTTGGTGTTTGGTTATTTATTTTTTAAAAGTATTATAAATGAAATATGATAGATTTTATTAATTATTAATTAAAATTTTAAAAATATCTTAAGATATATAATTATTAAAATA